GCCTCTTGTCACGCTCACTGACTTTCCACAGCTTCACAGTTTTATCTGTGGAGGGTGACCAGGGGAAGTCAGAATTACAGTGCCAAGCGAGCTTGTAAAGGAGTTTTCCTGGGGGTGGGGTGGTGACGGGAGAGGTGGCAGTAATGATGACAAGAACTGCGGGAACAGACAGAGGCTAAGAATATAGTAACATACAGCAGTCGCCATGTGGGCAAGTCCTCAGGGACAAAAGGAAAAGCATGGATTTGTGGTCACCAGGGCTTGGAAACCTTCCCGCTCAACCATTTGCTACCAGAGACTGGGGAGACAAGGGAGGTTGAGTCTCTGTGAAGCTCCTTCACTCACACATCATAGTTATGACCACTAGCAGCAGCCAGCACATGGCCAACCTTAGGAGACCTTCCCCCAGCGCTGGTGGCCAAGGGGGCTTGCACTCACCCGCAGGGTCGTGATGGTGGCAGGATCCCGGAGCCGGCCCTCTTCATCTTTCAGATTGTAGCCTTCGGGCCTCTTGTCACGCTCACTGACTTTCCACAGCTTCACAGTTTTATCTGTGGAGGGTGACCACGGGAAGTCAGAATTACAGTGCCAAGCGAGCTTGTAAAGGAGTTTTCCTGGGGGTGGGGTGGTGACGGGAGAGGTGGCAGTAATGATGACAAGAACTGGTAAAGAAGCTGGCTCGTACAAAGGGTCGCAGCACACAAGTCTTGTGTCATTTGAAGGCAGAGCTCATATTTCAAATGAAAAACATATATTGCACTGGGACAAATAGCTTTCCTTAACAACTATTATTCCTTGATTGACGATTAAATCTATAGTTTATATGTTAATTTGGCTCATTCTATAGAAATATTTACTGAACATTGAATAATAAGAGTAGCCACATATATGGAGCTTATTATGTAACTATGTTAGCACTTTACCTGGAAAATTGATTTAAGATTCATTGACACTAACTCCCGGAAGTAGGTACTATTAATTATGTCTATTCCACTGCACTTAAACACTGTCTTACCATGTTTTGCAAGGCCCTCCATGACCTGACTCTCTACTTCCTCAACCTTTCTGATTCACTGTGCTCCTGCCACGTGGCTTCCTAGCGGCTCCTCGTATACACTAAGCCCACTCCTGCCTCAGGGCCTTTGCACTTGCTGTACTTCCTGCCAGGAAAGCCCTTTATCCTCTTTTTCACATGACTCACTCCTTCACTTTGCTCTTTCTGTTCATGTCCCAACCTCAGAGAGCCTTACTTACAAGGGTACTTCAAAAAGTTCATGGAGAGGTGTCGGTGATGGGCCATAATAATCATATACATTGCATATTGACAAAATAAAAATTTAACGAAAAAAAAATAAAAATAAAAATAAAAGGCAACGGTGGAGACTGGCATAACCACTGTACTTCTAGATATTTTCATGAAGTACGGAGATTATAGTAGCGATTGATACCTTGTTTCTGTGTCTGTCCTGTTTTTTTTTTTTTGTTCCTATAATGGTATTTGTATGCACTCTCCAAATCAATTGTATGTATTTATAGTCTTGCTTTTTTTTTATTTAAAAAATACATTTGTGCCTAAAATAAATAAAACTAACTTTTTCAACAACAACAAAAAAAAAAGTTCATGGAAACATTCATATTATCTTTTAATTCTATTTTTCCACAAATTTTTTGAAGTACCCTTATAAAACCTACATAAGAATGCTCTCCTTACCACCATTCTCTATCCCCTTTCTCCTTCTTTTCTTCATAATACTTCTCACTAATTGACAATTGGTTAATTATCTTTTCACTACTTGACAATTGGTTAATTATCTGTCTCTGTCACACTAGAATATAAAATCACTGGATGCAGGGATCCTGCCTGTCTTGTTCATCACTATACCTCCAGCACCTAGAACAGTGCCTGGAACATAGTAGATGCTCAGTAAATACTGGTTGAATGAATGCACAAATCACATCTACTTACTGCATATTTCTAGCAATACACAGGGAAACAAATGGAAAGGAGATGAATCAAAATCCTCCTTTCCCCTTGCTGTCTCCTTGGGGCCCCCAGCTGGAAACTATCTTTCTCACCTTTGTACTGCCCCTTCCCTTTATACCACTTAAGGACACCTCTCATTCTCCATAGCATTAAAACAGAGGTGAGAACTCCAATGCCTGCAGGGGTCAGGCAGGCCAGGGAAATGAGTGACAGCAGCTAAGGGGAGCTGGAGGTGACATGCCCCACCTGCAGGCTTTCAATTCTGGTTTTTAAGGAAACATGTTCAGGCTAAACAAATCATGTGTGTGGGCCACATGCCCATGTAGCCCTTCCCTATCAGATCTTGCATTCATTATTTGTACTTGTTTTAACTTCTCTTCTGGAAGGAAGTGCTTTCTTTTTATATTCCTCTATCCTGCATAATCAGACAACCCTGGGCCCAATCCCCACTCCAACTCTAGACTGCCGCATGGCCAGGGACTGGGATTCCCACGCAATAGGCACCCAACTAGTATTTCTTGAGTGACAAACAAATAGGATTGCCAGATTTAGCAGAAAAAAAGTACAGAATGCCCAGTTCAATGTGAATTTCAGATAAACAATGAATAATTTTTTTAGTATAAATATGTCCCACATATTTCAACCTTACGAATAAAGATACCTAGTTTCTCTGTGCCTCAGTTTCCTAATTTTAAATTGGGAAAAATAGTGTCTTCCTCACAGGGCTCTTATGAGGATTAAATGAATCACAGCAGGTAGAGTGTTTGACACAGTGTTGGGCCTCTAGTAGTGACTCACTAAGGACAGCTGTTATTTGAATTAGCAGATTGGGCAACTATTCTGCAATGATGACATGTTGCTCTGACAATTTCAGCTTCATCCCACAATGACATCAGCACATCCTCTTCCTCCTCTGTAGTGCTACCAGGGCAGGAAAGCCACCCCTCTACTTTGCCTTTCTTCCTTGTCCCATCACCTCACTCCTCCATTGCTCCTCACCTGGATCTGCACCACCACGTCCCATTTCCTGCACCTCTGGGAGATAGATCTTGTAAGCAGGGGATGGGGATCACAATACTGCTCCCCTTGAAACTGTCAGAAACAAATGCCTTGTTTGCAGAGGTCTTAAATGCACCACATTGTGAAGTGAATTTTCAGCAGCAAGGTAGCTACTTTAACAGAAAAGTGTCTCTGTTTTCTCATATCTGGGCATCACCCAGGCTGGTCAGGTCTGCGGGCATGCCCCGCAAGGCTGCTAAGTGTATGCTTTGTACATTCGGAACTGGGCACTCACCCCAGCTTGTGCCTGGGCCCAAGGCAAAGAAGCCTTCCCTGGCTGCAGGTTTAATTTAGAACCTTCTGTCTTTATGCCAACACCCTTCTGGCCCCATCCTCTCTGGAGATCCTGCTGCATACTAAACTGCTTATAAGGGTGAGAAAATAAAACATAGGCCATATACATAGTCACTTAATTAGCTCCTGATCAGCTGTGGCTTAGAAAAACCCAAGAATCAGTGAATTTTAACACCAAATATTTTCTGTTGGTTGGCTTTGGAATGTATCCCATCTCATTTACAAAGCAATTTTTATCTTATACAATTTTTTTTTTATCACGAATGATAAATTGCTATATAGAGATATCATGAGTAAAACATAAAGAATAAAAAACACCTATAATCCCTTCAGTCAGGGACAATCATTGTCAGTATTTTGCATAAATTCTTGTACTATTTTTCCTATGCATTTTTTTGGATGGGATACAAACCTATAATAACATTGCATATATAGATTTCAAATCTTCTAATTTTATTTCCTTTTTATTATACAAGTGATACATGTAATTAGAAAATAAAAATGATCGTAATGGTAAAAAAATAAAAATTTCCCTCAGTTCCACCAGAGATAGCTATTATGCAAATTTTGTGCATATTCTTTCATTATATTTGTTTATACAATTATATAACTGTTTTCAGAAAACATAATATGCTATACATAGTTTATAATATGTATTTTGCCTAATCACAGATCTAGCTATACCAACGCCTATCTCTGTAAATGTATAGTTGGCCCTCTCTATCCATGGACAAATTTAACCAACCATGGATGGAAAATACTCAGGAAAAAAAAATTAAAAGTAATGGTACAACAACAAAAATAATACGAATTTTAAAAATATGGTATTATAACTATTTACATAGCATTTAGATTGCATTAGATATTATAAGTAATCTAGTGATGACTTAAAGAATATGAGAGGATGTGTGTAGGTTATATGCAAATGCTATGCCATAAGGCACTTGGGTGTCCATGGATTTTTTGGTATCTGTTTGGGGGGGTTCCTGGAACCAATCTCCTACCGATATGGAGGGATGACTGTATTTATAGGGATAGATTTATATGAAACATATATAATTTCTAAAGGTGAGAATCTGTAAACAACTAACGATCTAATAGTGGGAGACTTACTAGTAAACTATAGAAAAAATCATACAGAAGGGAATACTATGCAGTCATTGAAAACGTTATGGTATTTTAGAAGAATATTGAACAACTAGGAAGATATTCCTTTTATTAAATGTTATATTATTAAATAAAAAATCTAGTTAAAATTAGTTAGTAGAATATATCACATTTCTGTTAAGAAACAAACAGATCTATCCATGCCTCTTTGCTGTTTTCTTTAAAATGCATTAAAAGTGGTTCTCTCTGAATGAGAACACATCTTCTTTTTGCTTCTCTGTATTTAAAATTTTTTTTTTTTACAATGAACATGAACTTACTTTCACAACAAGAAAAACAAATTCAGTATATCATCCCCTCTCATCATAGGTATTAAGGGAGAGAGAGAAAGCTAGGTAAAACAATGTGTTTTCATATAGCAAGTAATTTCAAGGTCTAGATTTACAATTGAATGTTGGTTTTATTCTTCATTAAAAATTGTAAGGTTGAAAATACATTCTAGCAGAAAGTAAAAATTGCACCCAACTATAATGAGATGAGCACAGTTTTTAAAAAAGATAATTGATGGTGAATTCAATCCAATTCCCCATGGCTGGGTTGCCTGGAGTCATTCTTGACTTTATTATCACACAATTTCTTTAGACTTGGTACCTTGAAGCTTTGTGGATAAAAAAAGTCTAAGGAACATGTGGCTGTTACTATGAGTAATGACTTTTTTCTTTCTTCTGGCTGGTTCTCTGAGTAGTTTATCATCACTTGTGGCAGCTTTTAAACACAATCTTATCATCTATCTTCATTTTCTCTTTTGTACAGTAATTCCAATTGTCTTCCATTAATTTTTGCATGTTAACCTATTTGGCCTAAGGGGGATTCTCAACCTCATATTAGTATAAAAAAGAAAATCATATAATAACATGGGAATTTTTCTTAAAAGAATCATTTTGAAATGCTGTTGGCATATGAAATAGCACCCCAAATGAGAAGATAATATCCTTGTTAATCAAAAAACTATTTAAAAACTCAATTAACAGAACATTATGCTATATAATTAATCTTCATTGCATTTCACTGATTTCTTTCCCAGCCCCCCACAAAGTAGTTCATAATAAGTCCTTGAATTTTATTGCAATAATCGATAGGCTAAATTTCATAATATAAAGTAAGCTAGCTACAGAAGATAATCAGACACTTTTCCTCTGCCTGAAATAATTAAGTCAAAATCATCAGATGTCTTTTTTATTCTGATATAGTACTGAATCTGTGCAGCCTTTGAGTGAAACTTAGACAGCAAAATTAAAAGGGAAGAAACTGAAACAAATTCACATGGTTTGGCTTCAACCAAATCAGGGTTGCAAAAAGTAACCAGAACAATAATACAATTCAAGAATCAAGTTACTTGGAATCTGGAAAAACAGATGAGTAGAGATCTGGTTATACTGAGATGAGATATGCTTGGTTAACCTAAACTGTCTGTTGCAAAATTATCATTTGTTAGATTTGTACACTGGCTTTACACTTGAGAGATTTGGGGTTCATATGCATTCAAAATTTTCCACCTTTTTCACAAGATTAGCGTAAACCTCATTATATAAACTTACAAAATGAAAATGATAAACAAATTTACAAGTCACTCACAATGTACAATCAAAAATTAACCATGATGAACCTTTTGTTGTGTTTGCTTCCAATCTTTTTTAAAAAATATTCATATATGTTTGATAATATTATATACATCGTCTGCATTTTTATCACTTGACATATGAGCATTTCCCTTTCTTTTGAGATGCTGGGTGTAGGCACAGAACAAATCCCTCGCTTCTTGATATATTAAGTGTATACTCATAGACTCACACCCAGTATGAAACGAATCACTCTCCAAATGATTTGCTTGGGAGAGGATGTTTGATTTTTATATACCAATCCTCTTAGTTATTACTGCTACTAGATTAGCACCCTTTAATATATGACTTAATTCTGAATTGTTTTGAGCATAGATGGCTTCTTTCAGCAAGGGTTTAAGAACCTGGAGGACAGGTGATTCCACTGTATAAAAACTTACTAAGTGAATATGTAAATTTAGCTCTCTGTTCAACCCCAACACCCTTTCTCTCTGACCTATTTATGTCAACTGCACTGAAATTAACAAATGATATAAAAAGAATATGGAGGGAAGTGGAGAAAGAAACTATTTCTTAATCAGGTCTTTGATAGTGTCCTTCTTTCAGCAAGGGTTTAAGAACCTGGAGGACAGGTGATTCCACTGTATAAAAACTTACTGAGTGAATATGTAAATTTAGCTCTCTGTTCAACCCCAACACCCTTTCTCTCTGACCTATTTATGTCAACTGCACTGAAATTAACAAATGGTATAAAAAGAATATGGAGGGAAGTGGAGAAAGAAACTATTTCTTAATCAGGTCTTTGATAGTGTACTAAATAAATGATGACAGAATGAAACAAGGGCAAAGGTTTGCAGAAAGAGGCAAGAGAAAGAAGATGCGGGACAGAGGAAAAAAGAGCATGTAAAGAGAGAAAGAGAAGAAGAGGAAAGAGAGAAGGGAGGTTTGATTTCAGGCATTTAAGGACTTCATTACCAAGAAGTTCAAGATCAGGCTTTGGAAAACTATGTTCAAAAATTCAAACCCAGGTCTTATTAAACATTTGTTATAAAAGCTTGACTCAGTAAGAGGCTTGATTTAAAAATTTATATTCCTAGGTGGATACAGAACATCCAAACCCAAATCTCAACCTACCTGTGGGTAATGGTGCTGAACCTGGTGTGAAATGTGTTTCTGCAGGTCCTGGGTTTCCTCTGGGTAAACTCTTGGGCATGTGCCTCCTGAGAATTCACTCACAGAGCTCCCCCATGGACGTCAAAAGCCGGCTTACCCTAGATGGCTTTGTTTTTTAGGTTTAGTGTTCATTTTAATCCCAAGACTAGCCACCTAGCTAAACACTTAACTGAATGTTCTTTATTCCTATTGACATTTACTTTTTTACTGAACAAAACCATCCTGCTTTGGAAAATGTGTCCCCCATCATTCTACTAATGAAACCAGACTTCCCAAATATTTCAGTAAATTAAAATAGGTGAAACCTATAAATAGCTAACGGAAAATGTGGAGTGGAATATTACTGGCAACATGCTGCCTTGGGTAATTTATGCTAAATAGCTCCTCTGGTTCCACTTTATCATCACTGTGAACCTAATTGGATTTTTTTTTTTAAATTGGAAAAAAAGGTTTGAAAATCAGTTTTCAAAGGATTTTAAAAGCTGACATATTTGCTACTATCCTGCTTACTTGCAGAAAGAGCTGGTCCACCTTAACAATAAATTGATAAGAGTGTTGATTTGCTACCATCCAAATCAGACTGTCAACTGTGTAGTACGTGCCAGACCAATTAGCACTAGGCAGCTCTGAAAAAGCAGGAAAAATTCCAGGTCACGAAGAACTATTAGTTCCTACTTGCCAACCACATTTTCGCATTTCCAGGGCCAATGGAATAGGCTGGGTGCCTGATTTAATGCTGAATGCTTGAATTTATATAGAACCCCAAGGGATTATGATGCCCTTATAGAAATTAATTGCAAATAATGTGCAATTACCAAATATATCACCTCTAAATGAGGCTTTCCGTTTTTGAGGGGAGGTGTAATACACATGGCTTTGAGGCACAAAGCAGGCTTTAAATTGCTAAGGAAGTCTCTTGTGAAAACTTCCTCTTATGCTGGGCCTCCCTCACGCTTCCGAGGAGCGCTGGTGAGTATCAGAGGCAGGCAGCGGCAGATAGGGAAGTTACTAGAACACAGACTGGCCTGCTGGAAGCTCAAGACCATGTTGGAGGAGGCCAAGGAAATCAAATTGGGCCATAATTCCATTCTGACAAAACAGAAACAGACACCAAAATACTCAATTTGTATGAAAAGGGGAAACAATTCCTAGTAGAACTCAAGTCTTGACTCACTGGAAGTTAGAATTCTCAGGAACAGTGTTGCATACAACACTCAGCTCTCGGGAACTCTGTGTTACCTGCTGGGGGAGAGAGAGAGAGAGAAAGAGAGAGAGAGAGAGAGAGAGAGGGGGAGGGAGAGAGAGAGAGAGAGGGAGGGGGAGAGGGAGAGAGAGAGAGAATGCATCTGCCTCATTTGCTTTGCTGAGATCTCAGTTTGTGGGATTTCACTCCCTTTGATAGGGTGAGCTATCATTTTCTTCTGTACTGACCCAAGTTGTCCTCTTCACATCTGTTGGCAAAGAAAGCAATTTTTGTTTCTCCTACATATTCTGGCAGTACCTGAAATTAAGAGAGACTGAATTCCAACAGCTCAAGGACAAATCCCACTCAAAAAGGGTCAGTACCTGAAATTAAGAGAGACTGAATTCCAACAGCTCAAGGACAAATCCCACTCAAAAAGGAGGAGTTATGTAATTTTTGTTTCTCCTACATATTCTGGCAGTACCTGAAATTAAGAGAGACTGAATTCCAACAGCTCAAGGACAAATCCCACTCAAAAAGGGTCTCAATGAGACCCTTGGAATTTCGCAGGTCAGACAAGAAGTGAATTCATTTTGAACGTGCAATACCCAGGCTTGGAAAGATAAGGGCATGCCCAGAAAAGGCTCTCTTTAAGGTGCTTTTCTGAGTCTGAATGTGGAACTGTTGATGTTAATGACTTTTTGGACGTTTTTAGTGTGCGAGCAAAGCAGCAAGGTTAAGGGCGACACATGAGGATTAAGGAACAGTAGGAGGCCTCCTCTAAAAAGAAAAGAAAATGGGCATTTTGCATTCACTGCCACTTACCTCCTGCTCTCGTTGAAATATTACAACCCGACCCCCCTTGTCCCCTGTCGCTAGCAATTCTCCCGTGTGGTTGAATTCTACCGTAGAGATAATGTCAGCTGAAAAGAAGAAGACAAAGGCAATTTAAGTAACTGCACACTTACTTTGAAAGGATAGATAATAGATGTACTTTTCTGTGCATTTAAGGGCTTAGAGCTTTGTTTCTGCAGTGGAATTTACAAGGGTTTATATTCTGTATTTTAAGTGCCACTAGAAGTGGCACGTGGGAAAGAAGATTTCCTAGATGCCTACACTGCACTGTGGTATCTTGGAATACCTGGAGTGAACAAAAGGAAAACCCAAGTTCAGACCCTTTTGTTTTGGGTAAAAGAAATGAATTTCTTTGTGGCTCAGGGAAATAGCAATTTTCTTTGATAATTTCTACCAACTCCAGACCCTTCACATGCTCATGGCATTTTTGCCTTCCTTCCCCTTTCTTCTATACCAAGAAGTTTCCCCAAGCAGGATTCAGCCATGGCTATTCAAATTAGGGTTCAGGACTGTGATGACGCAGGGTTAGGATGCTTGATGCACAGACACCAAAAGTGGAGGAACAGAGCCCAAAGAAATCACCGGGCAAACTCTAGGAGTCAGCAATTAAAGGACCCCACAAATGCTCCAGCTTCACCCATGCTCCCCTTTCCTTTGTGAGTCCAACACACCCTCCCGGAAGAGCACCATGGCCTTATTCTAACCCCAGGAGATGGGTGCTGGGGAAACAGGGTCATGAGGTCAGAGGGGAGAGGGCAATTTTTACTCTGTATTTTTAAACTGAGAAAATGCACAGGCACCGGGAACTCAGATCGAAGATAATTGCTGAAGGAATGCCAGGCTGCCAAGTTTTTCTTTGACACTGGTTACCCCCAGAGGAACACAGACAGGTAAATTACCTATGATTGGATTTATTAGGGCTATTTTTAGAAAAATGTCAGAGGTTAATTCCCCCACAATTATTCCCCTGCTGGGTTCCAACAATCACTACCAAGAGTGCAAATGAGTTTAAAAAAAAAAGAAAGAAAGAAAGAAAAGAAAAGAAAAAAAGAGAGGCAGGGGAATTATGACTATGGCCTTTGACAGAGGAACATTCAGAAGATTACGCCTATGTAAGGAAAGCAGAAGGGAAACAGTGAGGTGGAAAACTAATGCAATTACCCCTGAATAATTCAAATCTCAAATCTTACTTTAATATTATCATTTCAGGATTTTCTTTGTATGCTTGATTTATTCAGGTAAGTAGTATAAAATTCTCTACTTTACATATAACTGTCCTTTTCCATATATGAAAAGGCTCCTAATGGTCATTCATTGTGCAAAAGTAAAAAGAATCAGGTATAATCCTTAGTTACTTTCAAGCTAGGCACATTTATAGAAATAATTCACAATTTCGTGTTTTGGTCTCTTAGATGATTGACTCTACAGGTAGCAAATTCAAAGCCCTACAGGACCACAAAGTAACGTGGATGAAGTAAGCCAGGTGAATAAGAAAGCTTGTGTCCCCTTTTAAGGGACAAGTGGCTACAAGCCTGAGCCAGCTGGGACCATCAAATATTGCATGTGTTACCTGATGTTCTAATTTTCTGAAGAAGTTGGAAATCCAGATTTTTATGCAAAAATCTCTTAAATTTTATATATTGGCAACTAATTATTTTTTTTCCAAAATCATGACAATTTAAAAAAATTTTGTTTTGAGCTGAATATGGTTTGTGGGACCAGTTTATGACTCCTGCTCTATAGCTCCTTCAATCAGAAAAGCTACTCCATTCCTTATCAATGATCTAAACTGGAAAGCTAGCCCATTTTCTCAGGAAGACCCCTCCAATAATGCTACCTAAGGAAACACAAAATAAGCCACGTGGTTGCTAAGCTCCTGATATAAGTGTAGAAGGCTCAGCATGGCTGGGAGCCAGGCACCTCCAGTGAAATATTTGCCCACTTTCCTTCTTTCTAGTTTGGTGCATCTTAGAAAATTGCTCTCATAGAGAAGAGAGCATGGCTGTTGAACATTTGCAGTTGGCTCAGAATGCCCTGATTGCTAGGATACACTTCTAACCTTAGTTACTGCTTTCGGCTTTTCATTGAGTGGTTAGCAAAGGGTTATTCATGAAGCTTCCAATCAGGGCATTCTGAGAGCCAGGCACCTCCAGTGAAATATTTGCCCACTTTCCTTCTTTCTAGTTTGGTGCATCTTAGCAAATTGCTCTCACAGAGAAGAGAGGATGGCTGTTGAACATTTGCAGTTGGCTCAGAATGCCCTGATTGCTAGGATACACTTCTAACCTTAGTTACTGCTTTTGGCTTTTCAGTGAGTGGTTAGCAAAGGGTTATTCATGAAGCTTCCTACTTGGGTCGAACCTAAAGTGTGTGCAGCTGTTTCTTTTCACTCTCGGCCTTCTGTCAGGTACTGAGGAATGAATCAAGGCTCTTGCTCAAACTGCTGAAACACAAACACTTCCCAGAGAGAAAGAGCAGCAGGGAGTAATGAGAGGGTGGTGGGGAGACTAGGCCTGGGGTTCATGATGCCACGCTCATGCCCTAGGGCTAAGTTTTAAGTTCCACTCATGTGCAGTTTATGCCCTTCTGCTGGGCAGCAATGTTAATGTGCAGCACTGGAGGTCTGGGTGGCTGGCTGCAGGACCCTTACACCAAGAACCAAGAGATGGGCCTTCCCATTTGGTAAAGTTGGGTATCAGAAGAAAGAAGTAACTTTTTTCAATGTGAGCCCCTGGCTCGGTTGCCAAAAAAATGCCACTCCAAGAGAAACAAAACTTGATTCCTCAGGGATGACATATACATTGTCCTGCTACCCAGACTCTGAGAAAATGTCTTTATTCTTCCTTTAAGATCCACACGTATCAAAACTAGGTAGGATTCAAGCTCAAGTCTCAGCCACTATGATCCAAGCCAGTATTATCAGAACTCTGCTTTATGGAATATTAGGCATGGTCCCAGCAAATAAAAATGACCCCTTCATTTTACAAGTATTATCATTCTTCAATGCTTTGTCTCCCTCAAGAACCTTGTAAGAGAAAGGGTGACTGGTATGGCAGAACTCTGAAATTCCTTAGTCCTCTTGCAAAGAACTTACCTTTATTTTAATCCCACCAGTCAGCTGGTTTGTGTATGAGGGAGGTTGTTTATGTCAAGCTATTGTCCACCTCCCTTCAGAGCATATGCCATTGCAGCTCAAGTTAATACCTGTTTTGAACTTTCATGTTTCCTGACTCATTTATCATCGCTAAGCCAGTAGGTGTAACCGGAATACTTTACTGGCCCATCCATCTCTGCATATCTTCACTATGACTGTTTAATAATTGATGCAAAACTCATGAATAATCCCACACTCCCATTTCAAGATATTGAAACTTCTGATACAAATACTTTTGTGTTTGCAACATGCTCTTTGGCAAAGCAGTTTAAATTGGAGAACACATGCTGCTTGAGAAAAAAATAACTTTCGTGAGTATAGAAAGAGGACGTGGCTATAACTATTAAACTTAGAGACAATAACTCCATCTGAAGTCATGGTCAACAGAAATCAATTCATCAAACTCAACATGGCTTTCACCTTTAAATGATAAATTTACATAATAATTCAACATTACATTAAATGCTCAGCCTAATCACACCGTTGAGCAAGAAGCTATAAATTTGAGCATTTTCCCTCTGTTCTACATAGATGTGGATAAAGTGCACAGTGATTAAAAACAAAAAACAAAAGCCCGAAACAGTTACAGAGGTCAAGTGTAGTTAAAATGATTTTAAAAGGAAACCTGAGTGATATGGAGTTTGCCCTGCTCCAAATCTATTTGTGCTGATTTACTTTCCACAAGATGCTGGCCTGGTAACCCCATTTCTAGTTCAATAGGCACTGTTAAGACCAAGTTTTTCTTTTTAAAAATCAATCTCAGCATCCTACAAAAGTTCCAGATGACTAATTTCATACATAAAGTCTCCATTTGCCTGAATAATAGATATTGACTTAGCAAATATATTCATATGATTGTGAGACTGAAGGAAATGGAGGGATCCCCTAGTTCATGCCCTTCTCTCCCACAGAACCAGGAGTCTATGCAAAGCCAGAGGACTGGGTTGAGACCTGGATTATTAGGCAATGTACAGTTCACATCAAAGGGTGACTGTTTTGATAAAATGATGACTCAGTTTAGATTCAGAGAGGATCTAAACCCTAAGTCTGCTGGTGGAACAATATCTTAGTGACCAGGTCACTAGCACTGGCCTCTGAACATCAATCACAAGGATGGAAATGAAAGGGTAATGCAATTTAGCCTTCAGAACCCATTAAATGTTTTATCTTTCATCTAAGAAACATTTGGTAGATAATAATATAAAGTCATTTACCCTACTTGTATCAGCTGACTAGTTCTGCCCACTCAAAACTTGGCTTTATTCCTGATGAATGGGTTGGCTCTAGGCAGTTTTCTGTTTCTTCAGCTAGGACAAGGATATTAGCAAGGATGGAAAGTAGGTGTCATAGCGAATGACAGCGGTGAAATGGTGGCAGTTGCCAGAGGTTTGTGTTGAGGAAGATTTGGGGGGTGACTTCTAGGCTGAGGTACCATGATTAATTGGCAGTGGGTCTGGCAGAGCGTAGGGGAGGTAGCATGTGCATCCTTTGTCATCCCTGCATAGGCGCTTCTAGCTAGATTAGCAATGACTTTGCGGATCATTAAACAAACAGCTGATTTTTAGGCTTCCCAGTGGGAATTAAAATGACTCCTCCTAATCTACATAAAACTGTGCCTTCCTTCCTTTTGGGGTCCTGGTTCACAGTCCAAAGTCAGCATCCATTTTCTCTGATATTTTCTCCAGTAGGTTTTGATAACTGAAATAGTGCATTGAAGCATATTTTCTACCAAAGTTATGGGGTAGGGGTTTAATGGGGGAGAAGTCTGGTTATGGCCAAACAAGAAAAGCCCAAGTGCTACTACTGGGATTATGCCAGAATGGCCTGTTGAAAGATGTTAATGTGTCATAAAGTTTAAAAAAGAATCAGGTAATAAAACAGTATGTGTCAAATAATTTCAATTTTGTTAAAGTA